TAATGGTAATATTGTAATCACATTTCATAACTCTAATATATAAAAGTTCCTTAAAGAAATTAAAATTGATCCAACAAAAAAAGCATAATAAGCACTTATAAAACTAGAAATCGATATTGTTTTTTTCTCATAACGACCCCAAAGTATAGAAACATTATTTACAAAATAACCTATACAAAATGTGTAATAGTATGCGAGATTAATTGTTGAATGATTGTTCTGCAACCTAAACTTCTAATCAATTCAATTTCTTCGATACATAAGACCAGAATAATTTTATGAAATTGTATAATACTAAAACTTAATTTATTTGTTTTCACGTTAAATGAGATACCACTTTAGCAACATGGATTAATTTTAACCATATAATTATCTACAAATAAATTAAATATATCTCGAGAATCATAATATGATTTACATGTTGAAAATTAATTATTTTAATCAAATAATTATATTCATATATTATCATTACTCATCTATCTATTAATATGTGTTATTATAATAAAATGGTTTTCAAGAAAACAATGTACAAAATAAAAAATTTATATATTTGAGTATAAACGAGAATATTATAATTATATCTAATATAATATAAAGATATAAAATTAATTGACATAAATAAGACATATGATTCAAAAAAGTGCTATACTTTAATTTTATGTATTTTTTAAAAAACCTAAAAGTTATACACACACACACACACACACACATATATATATATATATTAAAATACATTTGAAAGAATAGTTTAAAGTTAAAAAAACAATAAAGTTAATAAATAATATTAAATTTATAACTAAGTTGTAATACTTACTAATAACTATGAAAAAAAAGTAATAAATAAAAATATTATAATTAGTAAAAGTATTTGTAGAACTTTTAAATTTGTATTTATCGATGTAAATGAGCCAAATTGTTCACCACATTTTAAATTTTTGCGCTTATTAGTTCAATGTATAAATTTTAGACGATAGACAATAGTTATTTATACTTTTATCCATGTAGGTTAGAAATTTATTTTTATTTTTTTAAATAAATCTTTGATAATTTTGATTTTAAATAACGTTTTATTTGCTATTATTTTTTTAATATAATATATAAATGCCATATTATATATATACAATAATACTTTTTATTATTTGATATTTAATGTGCAAGAAATGTAACTCAATTGATAAGTTAATAGGTAGTCTTGCGATAAAATAATGAGCGATTTCTAAAAAATATATGGATTAAAAAGTTCATGTGTTTAATATATTTTTAATAGAAAAATTATAAATACATCTAATTAATAACAAAAACTTATACATAAAAAATATAATTTATAAAGGAATAAAAAAATGGTACATTGCAATGAAAAATCCAACGATAAGACATCCCACTGAAAATCCCAAATGATATTTTATTCGTATAGCTGTCATTGTAAAATTCCATTGACTATTCCGAGATCAAATTACATTATTCCAACAGTTGGAAAAAATGTCACTGGAAATGTAAGAATTTCAATGGAAGTTCTATTCGAAATCTACCTGCAGTGGTGGATACAAAATAATTTCATACTTGAGACATTATTTAGTTAATAGAAAAGGTATACCAGTAAAATAACATAATGTCATTATAATTTATAAATTATATTTTTAATAATTTGTCATCTTTCTCATCTATAATATATGTTACACATCAATACAGTTACAATTAAAAAAAAAAATAACTTTTCTCAATTTAACATAAGCATATAATTGAAAATAATTATGTTTTTTAATATTTTATGAACAAAAGTTGACTCGACTATATTATTGATGAATTTATGAATTATAAATATTTAATTCTAGTATAAATTAAAAAAAATTGTAATTAAATATAATATAGTATAAGATATACAAATAATTGATATATAATGAGACAGATGGTTGAAACAATTCTAGACTTTATATCATGCATTTTTTGACAAATCTACAGTTAAGAACATGTAAAAGAACAAGATAAAAGTTTAAAAAAAATATTAAATATGATAAATAATATTAAAAATAAATAAGTTGTGACACGTACTAATAAATATGAAACAAAGTAATAAATAAAAATGTTATAATTAATAGAAGAAATATAAACCTTTTATAAATATACTTATCGACGTAAACGAGCTGAGTTGTTAAATGCTTGTTAGTCTTTTCTCCTAATAATTTTATGTGTAAATTTGATGTGATAGACAATAGTTATTTGTACATTTATTCATGTAAGTTACCAAAAAAAAAATCTTTATTATTCTAATTTTAAATAACTTTTTATTTGCTATATTATTTTTTTAATATAATATATAAATATCATATTGAACATATAAAATAGGAAATATTCTAATTTTTAAAAATTTAATATGTAAGAAATGTAACTCAATTGGTAAATCAATAGGTAATCTTGAGATAAAATAATGAGTAATTTCTGAAAAAAAAATATATGAACTAAAAAGTTCATGTGTTTAATATATTTTTAATAGAAAAACTGTAAACACAATTAATCAATAAATACTACATAAAAAATTAATGTTTAAGAGGACTACAACAAATTGCTATATTGCAATGAAAAAATCAACGGTAAGGTAATCTACAGAAAATTCCAACGAATATTTCATAAATATTGCTTTTATTGGAAAATTTCATTGGCTATTCCAACAAAGTTCAAATTAAATTACTTGAACTTTAGTGGATTTAAAGATTTCAATTACTTGAATTTCCATTGGATTGTTTTTGGATCATATTTCAATCGTTGGAAAAACTGTCATTGGAATTGTGCAAAAATTCAATGGAAATTTCATTGGAAAGCTAATTGCAGTGATAGATCTAAAATAATTTCATATTGGGGGCATTATTTAGTTAACAGAAAAAATATACCATCAAAATTACATGTCATTGTAATTTATAAATTAATATATCACCTTTCTAATTTTGTAATATATTTTACTAAATCAATACAGTCACAATAAGATAAAATATATTTAAGAAACCAAAAGACATGATTTTTCTCAATTCAACTTAAGAAGATCGTTATATTCTTGTTGTAATTTTCGTTGGAATTTTCTCATTTTCTTGTAATAAAAGTAGGATTCCAAATCTATAAAAAAATGTATTATTATATAATATTTTGTGCAACTATTATTATGAAAATTTTGATATGATAGAAAATATAACACATTCAATGTAATTGTCGTTTAATTTATGATAATAAGTAATTTTTGTTTCAAAACAAACAAGATACTTTGAAAGGTCCTTAATTATTTTATTAGTATTATAATAACTAAATAAGGGGTAAGAATGATGAGAAAACTTATAGCTCTCATTAAATCAAAGAGTAAAAATACTGATAAAATTACTTAATGTACAATATCAATTGGAGCTGGCTAATAAGAAATATAAAATATACTTAAGATACACATATATTTTAACTAGAACTTTTAGGTATACAATTCTTTAAAATTGGGTATGTTAATCTTAAAATTTTTAAATTAAAAATTTAATTACTTTCTCTCATTAAATTTTTTAATTTTGTGATACTTCATATTTTTTATTTGTTACTCTTTTTATATGTATCACATTATTTCTTTTCAATAATGTTTGAGTTGACCAATATATTGAAAATAAAATAAAAATAATACAATTATTTATATCGATATATATATATATATCAGTAATAATTTTAAAATAATAAATTGACCTAAAATTATAGTATATATTAATTTATTTATTCAAGTTAAATCAATTTTATTAAGTATAAAATAACATAAGATACACTTGTGGTATACTTTTCTTATATTTTTCTTACATAGATTTGAAACAATTCATATTAAAAATAACATAAAAAAAATGGAGGTAAACTTACAACTATTCCCACATTTTGGCTAGAGCGCCAATTCCCGATATATATTTGCCACTGGTTTGCCGTAATGCTGAAACTATGGCGAATGCACCTTAGGTACAAACGAAGCGAAGCGAAGTGAAATCATAGATAAAAGAAGGAAGAGACTAGGCCAGAGAAGGGAAATGAGATAACATTAGCTATGTGAATTAAAAAGACAAATAAATGAGTTGTACGTTAAACTATTATTCAATTACTGCTTGAAAAAGAACCCTATAAAGGTGGTACCATATATGTATTCAGTGATTATGAAAATAACTTAGTTACCTAATATAATATCAAACATTGGAAATTTTTTTTAACTTTTTAATCTAATAATTCGTATAAAAAGTACATTTTTATCAAATATATTAAATTTACATATATCTTATGTGATTATAGTAGTTGCAGCCTAATAAAAAAGATAATTTGAAAACATCATTATATAAAACACATACAAAAAATAACGCAATACATATAAATGTGCTTTAATTATTTAGCAAATAAAATATTATTTATCTATAGAATAAGAAACAAATAATATAATAGTAACACAATAAGAAAAAGAATACGTGTGAATTTTCTTAGAGAAGTATGAATATCAATATTTACGAACAAAAAGTCTTTGAAAATTGCTACTTTTTTGCTGCTAGCGTTTAAATGTAGGGACTCTGTAAGAAATTGGTTTTCATAGATCCTATATTATTTATTTTTAATTTTAAATATTTAAAAAATCAAAAAATTTGTAATACATAATGTATATTTTAATCATGACTCCATAAAAATAAACCTACTCTATTTTGTTTTTCCACGTGAAATCTTTATAATATTTGTGTGTGACGGTTTTTATTAGCCAGAATAATATTTCTAAGATTCATATAATGTTGTTTTCAATCTTTTTACTTAGTAAAAATTGTGGTTTCACACTAGTCAAATATTCTATGATGTTTTCCACTTAAAATCTTTATAATATCCGACTCGCATGCTTTCATTGCTAGAATTACATTTCTAATATTCGTATCACGGTTACTTTCAATCTTTTTTTTTCTGAAAGTTGTGGTTTCACACAAGTCAAATCACCGGTGAAAAAATCTTTCTAGTATCTGTGTGGCATGTTTTTTGTAACTAGAATAACATTTGTAAGATTAAAATTGTGGTCTCACGCTTCACGAGTCTAACACGTTTGCATATTGAAATACCATAGCACATTACTCAATTGGAGGCCCAAATTATATTAAATTACCATTTGTAAATTGCATATAATATTGAAGAAAAAAAAGCTGTTGGTGAAACTTGACCATGGCATGATGCACAATCGCAGTACAGTAAACTTCACTTAACAAACAAAATAAAACATATAAAAGAAAATATATTGAAAAAAAAAAAACTTTATTCTTCACCACAAAAAAACTCTCTCCGCAAGATGTCCACATATAAGCCATTAGGTTAGGTTTGGATTGGTTTCCCTTGCTGTAAGTAACCTATGGTGCATGAAAGGATCTTATTGCCCTGCCCATGAGTATGCAACCTGGCTCCTCACCGTGTGCTTCTCATTGTTCCACGAAATTGAGCCAAACGCATCCTGATCCGAAACACTTTTCGACACGAATGTAACCGTATAACTCGAACTGTCCCCAACGTCCTTGAAACTAAGACTCGTTGGATTCACAGTCACGTTAACATTCGGGGGTGCCTTGACTGAGACAGTGTAAACCGACATGCCGGGCTCCACGCTGGTCAACGTCCTGGTCAGACTCACGTTCCCGAGCTTCCCAAACAGCACGGAGAAAGAGGGGTAGTTGAGCTCGGCTGGGTTGTTGAACTTGGACTCAAGCTTGTCGCACGTTTGATTGCTGTTCCTGGTGATGGCTAGGATATGACTCGGACTGTAGCCGAGGGAGCATAGGAAGGCGAGGTAGTCGTTCGTGGTGGTGTTGTACACGAGGCCTGGGGAGAGGGCCTTGATCGGGTCCACGTGGCCCGCGCCCATGGCGTACGCGGTTGCGTTGGAATTGTCGTTGGCATCAGTGATGGAGGAGTTGGTGTTGTCGAGGGTGTAGGCCGTGGTCATGAGGGCCGACTTGATCGCGCTCGGGCTCCAGTCCGGGTGGGCCGCCTTCACAAGAGCTGCCAGCCCACTTATGTGCGGGCACGACATCGACGTACCTGCTCGCAAAATTTGATCACAAAGTCATTGTTTTGAAAAATGTCACAT